GTGTGTGTGTTTGTGTGTGTGTGTGTGTGTGTGTGTGTGTGTGTGTGTATTTGCGTGCCACAAATGTTAATGATGTGAAATGCACTGAGATTTGTATTTTTAATTTGACTAGAATAGATAGCAACTGGCTTATTAAAGTTTTAATTGAGCTTTTCACAATTTGTGAATGAGTGAAAAATTTTATAAAATTGCTGGCAGCAAAAAAAATAAATAAATAAAATAAATGATGCTAAAATAAATAATCAATGGCGCAGAACGTGATCAGACGCGAGTAAACAGTTTAGTGACAATATTGAAAATCTATATATAATTTCTATTTTTCTATGCATCAACTCTATCTATCCATAATACGTAAATCTTATCGGCCAGACTCAATTTGTTGTCATGTGCAATTAGTAGCGCGACCGCAGCAATTGGCGCTTATCGCTCTTTGACCTGAGGTGATGCTGCATTCGCATTTGAATTGAAACGAAAGCAACGGCCCAAATACCCCAATGCACCTCCCGCCTGTCCAGCTGTCATTTTGGAGCGTTTTTGTGCTTTTAAATTGCAATTAAATTACATTTTACATTAGCGCGCAATTTGCGAGCATTTTCATTGATATTTAATTAGCATAAACGCATTTACGATTGCATTTGTCAAAACTAGCAACAAATTGTGTTACCCTCTCCTAGTCGCTGTTCTTTTTAATGAGCCTTTGTCAAAGTGTGCGAACATTATAAATATATATATGTATCAATATATTCATCTATATTTATATATTTTGGGAAACTGTGCAAATATATGCATCGAGTATATTATGTCTGGGCGCATGTGTCAGCTGCCAATTGCCATAGGTCAAACAAATTTGAAATTTATTTTACATTAATCCAAACATACATTGCACACACTCACACACACACACGCACACATTTACATATCTGTGCATAAACTCATCTCTGCCATAAATTGCATTTTATAATCGAAAGCAAAACAAAATGGCGACTGTTTTTGTTGTTTGCAACAGCAATAGCAACAACAACAACAACAACAAAGTAAAGCCTAATATACTCATTGCCCATTCATATACATGTGTGTGTGTGTGTGTTTAGTTGTGTGCGTGCTTGCATATCTGCAATATATTTTTGAAAATTGTATTAAATAAATTAAACAGTTGGCCGAGCACAATAAGACTGTAAATTATAACAGTAAAATATGCACCCCAACAGAAAATCATTTAAATATTGTATTTGCAGTGAAAATCCTAAATCGAATGAAGAATTATAAGAATATAATATTCTCTTTGAAATATTTAAATTAAGAAATATAATCTGTTAAAATAATATCTTAAACTTTCGTATTATTGTCGACTTTCTGCCGTAATCAACTGTCTTAAATGTGTTTCTGATTGCTTTGATTATTATAGCCCTCTCAATGATTGTCCTTGAGCCAATTATTTATTCTGCAATTCGTTGAATTTGATATCGAAATCAAATTCGAATGCAATTGCCTGGATGGGAAATAAGACCTGCAAGGCATTTCAGCTGCAACGGTATGCAAATTATAATGCTCTTAACAGGCAGGCCGACTTGTCTCTCGGCTCTCTGTGCCATCAGCGTCCAGTGTAGATTAATTGCTCGAGCTTGAACTTTGATTAAAAACTGATTCACATCGGGGGCTGGGCTGCTCTTTGGCTCATTGTTTATTTGCCTTTTGCTGCTCTTGAGTTGAGTTTTGTGGCCTACGGTCAAACAGCTGCAAAAATTTGTGAAATCATGGTGGAGGAGGAGTGGACAGGGTCTTCTGATTTGATACGGAAATGTTTTGATACCAACTGCAA